TGTAATGTCAGTCTATTTCTAAGACACAAACACAAAATGTTGGACAATGGGTTTCAAATAGAGGACATAAGGTATGAGTATATATGAGGCTGATGGAGGACTTAAAGGAGACGGTCTTTTTATAAAACTAGGCCGTCTATGCAGCGGAAAGACACATACTTTTTAAAGTGGTGCTAAATGACCAGAGAAAACAGCGAATAAAAGGCAGTGACATTTGCTTAAGAGGCAGAAAACCTAAAGAAGCATCAAAATGCTCTGCACCACATCGGACCAATGGACACTCCCGTTGGTGGGCGAGGTAATGCAGCTCGTCTGTGTTGACAAAACAATATGGCAACCAGCTAGTAACAGCAACTACATCTGTTGTTTGAGCAACAACTCTCGACACTCCTCATATCCACCAGATGATGCAAAATGCGTCATCCAGCAGATTAGAGCTGGTAGATGAGCAAGGAGATCTGGGCACGCCAGTAAGATAGATGGAAGTTTACCATAAATCATTAACACATACTACCCACATTGTAATGATACAGAGCTGGTTACAAATCAACAAAGTCTGCCTTTAAGATGTCAGTAAATAACTTCAAAGTCTGAAATGTATCTACATTTTTAAACTTGAAATACTGTTTTTGTTTTATTTTAATTCCATTTTTGCGAGCCGAACCATTTAAAATATCTAGTTCCCCGACGGACATAATTGAGTGACGGACCGAGTCCGACCGTAAATCTCCGCTTTCACTTTGTGCAGCGCATTCTCGCATTTTGACAACATGGCAAGTGAGCCTGACGAACCTGAAGACCCACCCGCAAACCTTAAGTCCTCCGTTTGGGAACACTTTGGTTTCAGGGTAAAATACGAAGATTGAAATAAACAAGTTGACAAGACAAAAGCAGTGTGCCAACACTGCACAACAGCGGTCGAGTATGTACTTGGAAACACGTCTAACATGCTAACGCATCAGCAACACCACCCGAGTTTGAACGTTAACCGGCACGACTAGAAAAAGCAATCTGGTGCAAACTACGATATCGTCGTCGTTTAAAAAGAAAGAGCGTTTCCCTGACCATCACGCTAAAGAAATAACCAACGCCATTGGAGTTGAGTAAAATTGTTTAAGCTGCACTTTAGATATAAGCATGTTTTGTTTACTGCACTTTAACAAAGTGGGAAAGCTAAGTAAGTTCCTAGTAAAACTGAATCTGAGCAGGCTTTAAAGCTGACCAGCTGCACTATACTTTTTATTTTAATTGAGTAAAACTGTTAAAGCAGAAATGTATATATTTTTTTTTCATTTAATTTTTTTTTTTATTAATTTATCTGCTGTGGTGATATGTTTTAATAAGGTTACCAATAAGTAAAAGATATTTAATAGTTGTCTATTTTTTTCATTACTATACCGAAAAAAAAACGAACCGTGACTTGTGTACCGAGGTACGTACCGAACCGAGATTTTTGTGTACCGTTACACCTCTACTGTAAATGCATGTATCTAATATTTGGCTTACTCAGTTCTACTGGATACTAAAAAAGCCTACATACAGAATTCCCTACCAATTAGGGTAACCAGGTCCCAATAAACCAAATGTGGGACAAGGAGCAGGTTTGTGAGGGACAATGTGGGACACCCGCCCCCAGCGCGAATTTTAGTCATCAGAGACTAAATACATTCATCATAAACTATACAGAGTCTACTGTATATTAACACTGGACTGTTTTAATTATTGAAGTATTTAGCAACACAGAGACTTGGGGTCAGTGGGATGTGAGGATTCTTAAAATAACATCTGTAGCCTACAGATGTGAACCTTACTGTATCGGACTGATCTTTAATGAAAACTGTTGTCTTGTATTGCTTTTCCTGAAAACATTAACCAACAGAGTTTATTTAGGCCCTGTAGTTGAGGGGACAGGTCAAACTGATATGATGCTGATTTACAGAATTCATGTAAAAAACCATTAACTTAAGTTACAGATCACCTGTAAAGCATTTTAATACATTAATCTATCATAATTAAAACAACTGGAGACAGAAAACAAACTGATATACGGGTCTGATCACTTTTTTAATGAAATGACATCATTCAGGATGTGAGTGCGTCTGTGACTTCCTGTACGGACTGAAGGCTGCTGGAAACTGTCGGGAAACTGTCCGACCATGGCTTTTTGTTTTTTTCTTATGGGGCGGGCCCTAGCGCTTAAACGCACAGAGCCCATGTGGGCCACCCGCTGCATGCAGCTTCTTCTCATTGGCCGGGGAGGAATGCATGTGCAGGTGACAACCAATCATGTGGGAAATGGTCTCAATTTGCGTGACGCATGAAAAGAGACAGAAATGCTGTGCAGTCCTGCGCAATGCAGGACGTCTGGTCACCCTACTACCAATTAACCCATTCATCCAGGCAGCACAAGTTAAGAGCAAAGCAAAGATGAAAACAACAACAAGCAACCACCAGCCACAACTTTTTCCACAGCAGACATTTTGACTTATCGTAGAATAAACACAACAACAATAATAATGTAGAAATAAATCATCTCTGTTCCAGTCACTCTGAGTGTTTAGGGTCCAGGTCTCTGGCTTTGTGTATCATGTCCATAGATTTTCATAATAACTCGATACCAAATGCCAAGGTGGCGCCTATTCATTACATTCATTATTCAGTACGAGTTCCTTGCCTAGCACATTGGCCAAAAAGATTTTTAGCTTCCAGGTTTACTTCCCCAGTATGTGGCCCACTGAATATGCGCAGTTATGTTTCTCCCGCTGTTCATTCAGAGATGGTCTTCTGCAGACCTTGGTTGTAACGAGTGGTTATTTGAGTTACTGTTGCCTTTCTATCATCTGGCCATTCTCCTCTGACCTCTGGCATCAACAAAGCATTTTCACCCAAAGAACTGCTCAGCAGTTTCTAACATACTCAGACCAACAACCATGCCACGTTCAAAGTCACTTAATCACCTTTCTTCCACATTCTGATGCCCGGTTTGAACCTCAGCAGGTCGTCTTGACCATGTCTACATGCCTAAATGCATTGAGTTGCTGCCACTTCACTGGCTGATTGGCTATTTGCGTTGAGGAGCAGTTGAACAGGGGGGTATTCCAGAAAGTGGGTTATGTGAAAACTCAGAGTAAGTTAACCCTGAGATGAGGGAAACTCTGAGTTATCCATTCCAGAAAGAGAGGTAACTGAAACTCTGAGTCAGTCACCATGGTAACAGACTCTGTGAACATAACCTGCTCGCTGACAGTTTTTCTTCAATAAACCCTGAGTTTTTCTCTGTCTCCTCCCTCTTACACGCTGTTTCATTTCCTCATTCATTCAGTCCTTGTCAAAGCTTGTATCGAAGCGCATTAATTAGGGGAAATTTACCTTCTGTCACAGTCTAAATCCTGCTGGATATTAGTTTGTTACTCAGGACTGTCTTTAGTTACTGAATTTATGCACATCAATCATTTCTTTGGACATCGGTTTTTGTCTTTACATTCAAATATTACATAGCGAGAATTCACCCAACACTGTGCACAAGGATCAGACTGTCAGTCTGTTAGAGCAGCTCCCAAATGTTTATTTCACATAATGTTTAGGTCTAATTATTTAAATTTTAAAAATCTGTATGAAGCTTTAGACATGTAGTATCAATGACTAATGATCTCTATCACTGATGTCATTGGTCGCACTGATGGAACATAATTCCTATAGCCTAATATTGGGGATTATATGTTCATATTTCTGAGTGAGCAATGGTGCAGCGTTTCAGTGTCTTTAAATTTACTACATTTGTAGCTGAAATAAAGTCACTGAATGCTGTTGAGTCAAGATACAAATAGATGTCCAGCATTTTAAAATCTACTGTATTTAAACATCAACGTCTTTTCAAGTGCAAATCACCAAACATATTATTACTGGGTCAGACTGTGAGTTTACAGTCATGTCTTTATGTCTTTGATTTATAGCCTAGCCTATATGTTTTAAATCTTCCTATTTTTCAGTTGCTGCCTCCTGTGTTTTTCCCCATCAGATTAAATCTGAACAAATACATTATTGTATATAATTAATATAATGTAGCCTAATGTATCTACAGCCTGATACACAGTCAGATTCCACCACTTTATCTTCATTAAGGAAATGTAAGTCTGATAAATGATGAATAAACGGACAACACTGAATAAAATTTTTTTATTAACTTTATGGTTGACTTATTTACACTTTCCTTGCTCTGACTCAGGATCTTCTTTTAAAGATAAACGTGCACCGTCTGCTACACATGCATTAATATCTCTATATCCACTGGATTAAAATGGAGGCGCTGTCTTTTATTTACCTGTTGCCATGGTGAATCGTGGAGTCGGAGCTCCATTGATGATGGCTTTTTATTGTCGGCTTAACTCAGAGTGAACATACTCAGAGTTGACTGAACTAACTCAAATCAGCTGTTCTGGAACCAGTAACTCAGAGTTTCCCATCTCAGGGTAAATCGACTCAGAGTTCAGGGTTAGACTCAGAGTTTGTTGAACCTCCTACCTGGAATACCCCTCAGGTGTACCTAATTAAGTGGCCAGTGATTGTACATTGTGCTGTTATGCTTCTCTTTCACTTTAAGTCAAAGTTTGGATGCAGGACTTTTGCTGTGTGGTATTAATACTTTTACTATAAATAGTTAATATGTATATGTAAGAAAAAAGTTTTGATTAGCCGTTTAAAAAGCCCACCAACATTTCCAGTTAGAAGAAGGGTGTAACAGAAAGCAAGACCGTGTGCCTAGGGCCCACAAATCACTACATCCGCCCCTGACAAACACACTCACGCTGCGGCTACTGTTGGTTCGAGACAAAGCTGAAACAGGCCTACATTAAGCGGATGAATTCATTTCCAAATAGGCGTATTAGTCACTTGCTTTGACATAACTACCAAAGTTATGAATTATGGCATGGGTTTAATTAGCAGAGTTACTCAGCAGGCAGTAATGTCAGTAGTGTTATAAGTTAAAATAGCAAACTTACACACTTGTCGGCTCTCCGCTCCTACTTGTTGAGTCCAGGAATGATGAAGACTTCGGTTTCAGCATAGTCCTGCGCTTCCTTGGGTCCGGCAACAAAAGCGTCCATTCCAAAAGTTACATCTCTGTTGCTTGAAATATTTGTTACATGTAAAATCCCCGGTTTCTAGTCTTCATGTGTTGCTAAATGTACCGTAGCTACATCCACTGAGAAGAGTCCTTGATTCACAGGTGTGAGCCCCGAAGCCCCGCCCACATCGCTGCACGAGCCACAGAGCCTGTTTGGTTGAAGTCGCACCAAACTCGACAACACACATCAAAATGAGTCCCCAGTAATACACCCTCCAAGTGTAAAGTAGTATACACATTCACTCACATGTTCATATTTATTCACTGGCCACTTTATTAGGTACACCTGCTCAACTGAGCATGGTTTAAACACCACAGCCTACCTGAGTATTGTTGCTGACCGTGTCCATCCCTTTATGACCACAGTGTACCCATCTTCTGATGGCTACTTCCAGCAGGATAACGCACCATGTCACAAAGCTCAAATCATCTCAAACTGGTTTCTTGAACATGACAATGAGTTCACTGTACTCCAATGGCCTCCACAGTCACCAGATCTCAATCCAATAGAGCATCTTTGGGATGTGGTGGAACGGGAGATTCACATCATGTGCAGCCGACAAATCTGCAGCAACTGCGTGATGCTAACATGTTAATATGGACCAAAATCTCTGAGGAATGTTTCCAGCATCTTGTTGAATCTATGCTATGAAGGATTAAGGCAGTTCTGACGGCAAAAGGGGTCCAACCTGGTAATAGCAAGGTGTACCTAATAAAGTGGGCAGTGAGGGGTCCATATGGTCAGTGACAAATAAGGGTTGGCAAGATGAGCAATTCAGAAATATCTTCAAAAACAGTTTTCAAAGCATGCATCAGATTTGTTAAAATGTACATTCTGTATTTTTGTTGGTTTTATGTCATTTGAAATGACATTTGCACCATTTTTTATGAAAAGTAAGACTGAATGCTCCTGAAAATGTCAAATGGTGTAACCACAAAAGAATGATAAATATTAAATATTTTATCCACCTACAGTAGATTTAAGTGTATTTATAAAAAAAAATCTTTATTTCAAAAGCATTACATTGAAATAAGATATTTTTGGAGTATTTCTATATTTAAATTTTAATGCATTTTGGCAATACTGAGCAGGACATTTCCTGAAAACACCCCTTTTTTTCTAAATAACATGTGACAAATTATGTAAAATTAAAAAAAAAAAAACAGTGTTGCACTGCAAAAGTGGATTACATTTATTCCACATTTTACTCCACATTTATTTTCCTGTATATAATCATATTTTTATGAAAAAATACCAGTTACACCAAATGACACTGGGCTGTGTCAATTGGTGTAACTGGTATTTTTCATAAAAAATGTGATACACTGCCTGACCATGTTCCTTCTACAGTCAAACACCACTGTTTGGTGAAGGAATTGACACTGAAAATCAAATATGACAGTCAACAAGGTTAAGTTAACTTTTTTTCATGTTATTTCATTTCAGAAAAAAAGAATATCTGACAACAGTGAGCTAATTTCTTCTACTGTAAAAAACACTTTACAATCATGTTTCATTTTAAAATTTAACTCATGTTTTGTATCTTAAGTTTTTATAAGAAAAAAGTCACCTGACAACAACTCATAAGGGTGAACTGGTCTTCTGTTGTGAATACGGTTGATAAAAATTTAATGAGAGAGAGAGTTCAGAAAAAGGAACAGCTGACAACAATTAACTCATTTCTTCTACTGTAAATTCTTTGCTAACAACAATCATTTAATTTTAAAATTTAACTCATGTTTCATGTTTTGTGTTTTAAATTCTGATAATGGAAGAAGTCACCTGACGACAGCAGCTTGTAAGGACGTAATTGGCCCTTGCTGCAGCATTAGCATTCATTAGCATTCACCCATCCTTGTCAGGTGGCCCTCCTAGAAACTGGCATCTAATGGGGAAAATTGATTTTATTTATTTGGTTTTATTACTTTAGTTTTCTATAAATGTATCATACATTAGTGATGAAATAGCAGAAATGTAAATAATTGTATTTTACAGACAGAAATTTTAATGTTTGAGTAACATTTCTACTTTCAATGAATTATTGGATTTTTAGGTATTTTAAAGCTACTGTACAAGATCAAAAGGAGGTTTTTTTTATAATACATCTTTAATTAGCATCATAAACTACTGATATCTAACAAGTTACCATCATAAACTGCTGATATTTGACATAATTGCTTATAACAGAAAGGCTCTTAATAGGAGTCAAATGGTGTAACCAGTTACACCATTTGACATTTCATTTTAAAATCAAATTTGACAGGCATTACCATTGACACCTGTGTAAGCACATGGCCTTGGTCTCAAGATTTCAAACATAATTTTTAAAGTAAATATTCATTTTAATGATTTTTATGAATTATTAATGTTTTTCTAGGGTCATACCATTTGACATGTAAACTTACCAAACCTGACCAGAGTCTAAAAACGTCAATTTATTAGTAATTTTAAGAGATTCTAACCTTGTCATGCAGCAGTTGTGATCATCAGAGGTCCTTCTCTGTAATACCATTTCCTGTCACATGGCCTTCTTTACTATATTAACAAAACGGCCTCTTAAATGGTGGTTACACCACTTGACACTTCATGTAGTTTACCTGACTTTCATGATTCCCCAAATTAAATTTCATATTTAGAACAATTGTATTCCATTACCTTTAATGAATATAAAAAAATAATAATTTAAAGATCATGCCAAACTAGATATGGTGTTTTATTGAGAATTTTAGTGTTTTTAAGTAAGTTTAATTATTTGGTGCAAGTTTTTATGGTTACACCACTTAGACATTTTTGCCATTATCCTCTAATATATTCTCTCAAAATGTATTAAAAGCAGAAATTTTATACTGGATCCACACAAAATTAAAGTTTGTAAGTTAATCATACATTTATTTTCAAATTTTAACCCTTTTAAATTTGACTAAACCATATGAACACATCAGGTCAGTACAGGCTGTCAATACCACTGTGTCTGAGGAGTGCACATTCTCTTTGGACATTCTTCTCTTATGAATACCAGTTTGTGTGTGGGAAATGGCATCTGCACGATGTCTTATCAGTCAAGCTAACACAGAGGGAAGCTGTTTTACTCATCCCAGAAGAAACACAATTATTAATGGGGAAAAGAAGACAACATACAGCCACAGTAAATTTCACATGATAAAAAAAAATGTATAACTATTTCTTAAAATGACAGCAGTACTGTGAACAACAGGTTAATCTTGGTTTCCCATGTCTGTTGGGAGAAACAGCGTAATGCCGTTGCTGATTTGTATCCAGCAAAGCCATGGTGTGATGAGGCTGTATTATAATGTGTGGCTGTTCTTCCCTTTTCCCTCTTTAACTACACAACAAAAACAAGATTGAAAACCCTGCTTTCCCCAAACAACAGTATTGTAATCTGGTACTATAGGTTCCCCGTAGGTATACCCAGTATTTACTGACATACTTATGGTGTCACTTCTTTCTCATATTGTTACTCCCCTATAATGTTGTTTCTTTCCATTGTACCTACATTTAAATATCAGCTGGAAGCGGTCAATATTTTTATTTGTACCTGACTCACAATAAAATTAATCTGTAAATAACACACTTTTTTTTTTTTACTATATAAGTCAGGTCATTTGTTTATGATTTTAGAGACAATACTTAACCCTGATAGATGATGACAACTAAGAAATTCCTCGTGTTTCAGTTTTCTATGGATTATTTCATTGTATTAGCATTCTATTCTAATCAGGGCGGCATGGTGGCAGTGGTCAGCATTGTTGCCTCACAGCAAGAGGGTTCCTGGTTCCAACCCTGGGATTCTGTGCGAAGCTTGCAAGTTCTACCTGTGTCAGCATGGGCTTCCTCTGGGTACTCCGGCTTCCTCCTCTAAATTGTCCGTAGGTGTGAATGTGAGTGTGAGCATGAATGGTTGTCTGTCTCTATGTGTCAGCCTTGTTGGCGACCTGTCCAAGGTGTACCCAACCCTCACCCAATTTCAGCTGGGATAAGCTCCAGCCCCTGTGCGACCCCTAACAGAAAATGAATACATGCATATTCTTATTAAATTTCTTTTTTTTAAAATCTGATTTTGAATGTTTTCAGTCTAATAAGCACAACATCAGTGTCCTGTCACCTCAGATTCTCCTGCAGTCTCTCTTTCAAAAAAAAAAAAAAAAAAAAAGTTTTGTGGCTGTTGTGCGGCCAGCCAAATACCTATCATGATTTACAGAATACAAAGTGATGCCCAGAAGTTGTGGGTTTTGTGCTGTTAAATTTACAATGACATAAAACAGCACAGAGCAGAAAATCCAAATATATGACAGGCTGGATGTGGCATGTTTGTCATTTTTACTTGATCAATGATTTAAAGAGTTATAAATAATATTTTAATGAAATGATATAATGCATTTTCTGATGATCAACAAATCAATGAATTGTTTTAGCGCTAGACTTTTTGGACCAAATACCAGATATGCTAATTTTAGGGCCAACTGAGGATCCTTCATCAACAGCAAAAATCCATGTGCTACTTCTTGATCACTTTGGACTTCAAAGCTCGCTTAATCAGGAGTGTTTTCACTGATGTGCTGACCTTCTGTCATATAAATTACAGCAAGTTAGTATCAAAACTGCTGTCTGCTAATCTAATGTGTTTATGTGTGTGTGTGCGTGCCAGTCAGCCAGTCATAACCTCACCAATGCTAATTGAGTGAGTCCAGAAATGAGAAGCGTGCACAGGTCCTCCCTAAGGGGTAAACAGTCAAAGCTGACATCCCACACACACATGCATGCACACAAACTCATTCTAACATAATTGATTTTCTAAACACTTCCATACTTTATGGTCACTGCCAAATGAAAACTCACTCAAATAGGTTGGAGGCGAATGTCAAATGAGGTAAAATTACTCCTGTCTGCACCCACCGCCATGCGCTCAACCTTTTAAAGTCCACTCAGATGTTACAGCTGGAAAAAGTTTGCTCAGTCTTTTAGAGTGATGGCCCCTAAGATTCTTTATTCATTGCTTTGTTGTACGTTCTACTTTCATCTTTGATTTTATTCATTCTTTTCTTTAGAGATTTGTACAGTGAAATCTAGCCAGCCTGAGAGACGGAGCCTCGGTCCCATAGATTCACCGCTTTATTATTCCGCTGCTCTTTTTCGGTGGCAGCCGAATCCATCATTCATTGCTTCAGTGCGTCTCAAGTCATTTTACAGACACGCCTTATTTTATAATGGAAAGCATGACGTTAGTGTTGGAAAATCAATAATCAAATCTCCACTAAATGTTTTCATTAATTTTATTTGTATTAAATATTAACAATAAGGAGACAGTGGACAAAAATCATTTGATAAAACATTTTTCATGTGAATAAACAACTGTGAGAGTGACCCAAAAAAATATATGTTGGACAGAAACTGAAGAAAAATACCTTTGGGTAAACACACACTGCAAGGTTTTTAACCACAGATGAGCCCAACAAACAGTTTCTAACAAACAGATAAAATTTCAAAACTGGTCAGGACCATGTAAAGTGAAAAACAACTCTATGAAGACAGATGTGTTCGGAAAACCCCTTTATAAATATATTAGCTACCAGGTCAGAGGCTCACAGTGAGAATCTACCCAACAGTGTTACATAGACACAAATGAAAAAGCAGCTTTAATAGATCGTCATCCACCTTTTGGACACAGTTAGGCAAAGTCATGTCTTTCAAAGTAATCTCAAGCAGGAATAGTCATAGTGCAAAGGCTGGATTTCAAAGAGGGAAAAGTTGATTAAGTGACCTGACACCTATATAAGCAAGTCAACTGGCCCTTACATGAACAAACTGGCACGGGTTCACAGTTAAACACGTTTGTCAGATTGTTTTCTGATGTGTCACTACAGCCTCAAACACTTTGGTAAAAGCTTAGACCTCCGACTGCATCTGACATTTGTCAATGACACAAATTTTCTTGTTGTGTTTAAATTTCTTATTAGCCAACAAACAATGTCTGTGAACGTTATTCTTAAAGAGACAGTGCAGACCCCCAATTTAAAAACACATGTTTTTCCTTTTCCTTACATGTGGTGTCATTTATAGATTGTTTTGGTGTGAGGTGTCGAGTGTTATTGAGATATCAGCTGTAGAGACGTCTGCCTTCTATTAAATATAATGGAACTAGATGGCACTCAGCTCGTGGTGCTCAAAGTGCCAAAAATTTATAGATAAACACATTTGGAAAAACTCAACAGCAGTGTATTTTTCCAGAGATCATGACCTGGTTACTCAAAATAACTGTAAGACTTTGTTGTGAGCAGTTCCATGCAAGAACTATTTTCTTTCTACTGAACTACAACCACCAACTGGAAGGAAACTTGCGTCTACTGCTGGCTCAGCGAATGTTACAGTTCAGCTCAGGAGGATGCCGCCGAGTATCCTGTACATGAGTAGATGCACACTTCCTTCTGCGTGATGATAAGGTTAGCGGGTGTACTTTGGTAGAGAGAAAATAGTTCCTACATGAAGCTGCTCACAACAAGGTCTGTGGATTATTTTGAGTAACTGGGTCATGATTTCTGGAAAGAGACATTGCTGTTGAGTTTTTCAAATGTGAGCACCACAAGCCAAGTGCCATCTAGTTCCATTATATTCAAGAGAAGACCGACATCTCAACAGCCAGTGTTGAGAAGGTTACTTTTGAAATGTAATTGGTCATAGATTACAAGTCACCCTGTCAAAAATGTAATAAGCAATGCAACTCTTTTTAAAACTTAAAGTAATATACCGGAAACTTACTAAATCTGATTACTTTCTGATGACTTTTCTAACAAATGGTTTGAACTGGGCTGAAAAGAAAAATGTCCTGAAATAGTCTGTGCCGAAAGAAGGCATTCCAACATGGCAAAAAGATGTCAGGCAACAGAATAAATGTTACATCCTACATATAAACATTTTCCCAATAATAATATATTCTGATGTAACCTCTTTTTTACCACCAACATTTTGATTAGTAACTGTAATTCAATTACATGTTTTTGTTTTTTTTTTCAGCAACTGATTAAATTTATTTTGTATTTGAGTTACATGTAACTTGTTACTTCCCAATACCGTGTACGGTTGATATCTCCAACTCTTGGCAACTCACACCTGAACAATCTAGATTCATAAATAGCACTACAGGCAGGAGGGAAAATGTATTTTTGATTTTGAGGAAAACTGTCCCTTTACATGTCATTAACATGAACATGAATTGTTCGTGTTCATGAACAGTGAACATCAACAGTTACAATAAATTATGTACAAATATACAGCTCAATTTCATTATTACAGCAGTTCATAAAGAAAAAAAACAAAACATAATTACAATAAGCACATTAAAAAGCTAGGACAGTTTAATATATGTGATTCATTAAAATAATAATAATAATAATAATAATAATAATAATAATAATAACATCATGATTATAATTGTCATTTAATGACCACTACCTTTATCTGTTAGTGCCAGGATGCTTTAAGGAAACTGATTCTATGGCAATAAATATAAATAAGGCAGAAAACAATAAATAACTTCCCAACAAACGAAATGTGTCTTAAATGCACAACATGCCGCCAAGTAAAATGAAGAATTGAGGTTTGTGAGGTGTGCCCACTTCATGATTGCAGACCCTTGTTTCCCAGCAGTGAAATTCAATATCAGTTCACTCTGACAATTACACAAGCAAAAGTGTCTTAGTTAGACCGCAAAGCCACATTTGAGCCATCAGCTCAGATGTGGCTTTGTCCCTTTAATGATATGTCTCATAACCAGCAGCCTGCTGTTGTGATTTCCAATTTGAGCAACAGATTATATAAAAAATAATGAACATAGACACCGTGGCGTCACCTACGGGTTTGTAATTTCCTGTTCTGAAACCTTCAATTTGGCGTTTTGGCTGTCACCATCTTGGATTTTTGAAGCCAGAAGTGACCATAGGGAGGGGTGGATCTGACTCAAAGATGGCGGTGATGCCACACAGACAGCCTGCCACTCAAAGCACCCACATCCGATTTGTGAATTACCTTAAGCCTTAATAAAATGTAAATGGGTGAGTTATATATAAATTTACCTCATGCACAGTAGTCATGAACCCGGAAATTAGCTATAGAGACCAAAACTGTTTTTTTTATTATTATTTTTTTTTATTACCAGGCTGTAAACATTGTATTTCTGCTGGTAAGTTAAGCATTTCAACATGGGGGTTAATGGGGACTTACTCACTTTTGGAGGCAACCTCCAGTGGCCATTTGAGGAACTGCAGTTTTTGGCACTTCCACGTTGTCTTCATTTTTCAGCCTCTGAGGCTGCCGCCTGATTTGAACACAGCTAAAATGAGCACAGCCGTTTGAAACACGGTGAAAAGAAATATCGGAGTGGGCAGTGCAAATAGAGTCCAATAGTCCCTTATGACATTTCACATAGCATCAACGACATTACGATGCAGGCGTTGACTGGGGATGTAAATAGTATTTCTTAAGAGGTCAGCCAGCGACACAGCATTGTCACCCTCGGCATGTAAACAAACCAAGCAGGGAATGTTTAGTTCACATTAGAGCTGCGGTTCTCAGTCTGGGTCCTCCGGAGCCACATTACTGCTGGCCATCTACACTACCAGGTAGTTAATTGCATTCACCAGGTGGAAAATGACTCCCCGATTAGACAGCTGGAATGAAAATCAGGCCCCAATGCCCAGGACTGAGAGCCACGGCAACAGAGTCTGTTACAGATACACTGTATGACAATACAAGCTCTGGATAAGTACGCTGAGCAGGGGAGAGAGATGGAGGGAGGGAGAGACCTGGGACATGATAGTGGGGGAAGGAAGATAACAGATTGAAAAAGAGGACAGGAACAAAAGGAGCTACAGAGTTTGCATGCAGTAGAGTAGAATGCTAGGGGATAGAAGGAGGCAAATGTATAGGGAGAGACTGGAGTAGACAGATGGAAAATAGGGTGGAGAAATAAATAGGGACAGAGAGAGAAGACAGAGGGGAAAAGGGGGTATGAAAAGAGAGGAAATCATGTGTAAGTGAAACAGGCCAGAGGGAAACTCGTAGTTACCACCAGTGGGAGAGGAGCTGTCTTCCTGCAGGCTTTTCTTCACCTCTATCAGGTCCTTGCCTCATGAGGTGTGCATTACAACACACTCTCTCACACTCTCACGCACACACACACACACACACACACACACACACACACACACTCAATTTATACAACCTCCCTACAGCCAGGTGCCGTTTAGAGACAGACAAGGTCAACAACTTTTTCCAGATTCTAACATTTTCTGTAGACGCCAGGAGCTGTGAACTTCTGGCCTGTACTTAGCAGCAGCGTAGGCTCCCCTACCTCCCGGTTGACATTACAAGATTTGTTTACCCCAAAGCCTGTGTGGAAAGAAAGGGCTGTTCGGGAGTCTATTCAGCTCAACAGAGCAAATATATTCAACACTGGCAGATTGAGGAGGGTGGTATGCAGCCCAGTTGTTCACAGATCTAAAAAAAAAAAAAAAAAAACATTTTCGGTTTTCTCACTTATCAAATTGTGACACATGTTGTCCCCAAAGTGTTAATAATGTACGACTCAGCAGGTCATGGCAGTTTCAATATAAAGCTCAATCAAAAGGTATGAGTCCTACTGTCCAAAAACTACATAATTGCTAGCCTTTCTATACCAAGTGCCATCTCATTAGGTAAGAGATAGCCAACACATCTGAGATCAGGAAGATAAAAAAGGCTAGCACATAAGGACTGGGTATCAGTGGAAAACCTTAGAGCTGATGCTTTTCCAAATGGGGCAGTTTGGAAACTCATGCTTTCTGTATCTTTCTTTTCATTATTTGATCAAGTAAACAACTTTCTATGCAACATTTGTTCTGCCGCTTGCTTCACCAGACAGAATCAGACTCTACTCCACTGATGCGCCACTAAAACTGTCATAGAAAGCAGGTCAGCTAACTGTAACACCAATATCTGAAACATCTTTCCTTTTAAATCCTTAAAATGGATATTGATTCTGTCATTTAGCAAAACACCAGTAGGTATCCCACTTCAATACCCAGCCCCAAAGAAGATTTGAAGAGCTTCATTCCAAAAAAAACTGATACTTCTTTCCCATTTTGGAAAAAATACATAATGCTGGTTGTGCCAGATCTTGTTCTATTCTTTCTCGTTGTCTGATGTGTTTTGATTTTGAGTTACTAAAATGTAATTTTGTCTTTATAAATGCCAAATTATTCAAATGGCAGACCTCTCATTTTGGAATGACACTCTTCACTTCTGTACTGTACTAATCTAACATTGCAGATACACATTTCTCTTATATATATTGTGGGTAATATTGCAACATTGCACTTGTATAAAAACCAGGTCCAGTGTTAAGCCAAAGGTACTTCTAATGTCTTATACACACGAATCAACCACAACATGAGAACCACGGACAGGTGAAGTGAATAACATTGATCATCTTGTTACAAACCAATGTTCTCCTGGGACACCTTGGGTCCTGACATTCATATAGATGCCACTTGACATGCACCCCTCATGGCAACAGCACTCCCCATGGCAGTGGCCCACCCAGCAGGTTAATGCACCATGCCACGCTGCAAAAATTGCTCAGGAATGGCCTGAGAAACAAGACAAAGAGCTCAAGGCATCCACCTGGCATCCAAATTCCCCAGATCCCAATCCAATTGAGCATCCACATGACGTGCCAAGACAAGTCTGACCCATGGAGGCCCCACCTCTCAACCCACAGGTCTCAAGGGATCTACTGCCAACACCCTGGTGCCAACACGGGACACTGAAGAAGGCCCACTGTTGACCGCACTTGGCTCTGAGCTGTCGAGGCATGGACACAGGACATTTGGGGTTACCAGCAGGTCCCACCTGTCAGTGGTTTTAATGTTGTGGCTGATTGGCGTATGTGAGCAGAAGGATAAACGTTTACTTCTCAAAACACTCAACAGGCTCATGTCTTGGTCGGAGGTTCTGGCATGTTTGAATCCCTTCTCGAGAGTTGATACTGAAACGTTATTAAAAGACTTTAAAAGTCACCCAGGTCCTGCTTTTGTTGCTGTATAAAATGCTCACCTGTATTCTCCTTAATTTTTAAAAAGCATGCAGTAAAAGGGTCGTGGATGTGGATGTCTTGTCATCTGAGTTGAGTTGATCTGATGTAGGATTTGGCAATGTGACAGTGTATTTTCACCAGCGCAAATGATGGGCAGCCCCATAGTTCATTGAGCAGCACATGGTTTCACTTTTAAAAAATAATCAAATAAATGGATAAAAATAAATCTTTAACAACACAAATACAAACCTCATCTCTGCCTTCAGTTTCAACACCCTGTTATTTGTGCAGATTGTGAGGCAGAGATATCACAGATGATGTCTCTGTGTGAGAGTGTGTTTCTAAGTGTGTGTGACTGTGATCTGTATGTGTGCATGGATACGAGTCTCTGTGCACTTTGTGTGTCTGTGGGCGTAAGCACATCTAAACTGTCAGCGTGACACAACGTGGGAGTTCTGATAGACGGGTGAGTGCCTTTTTCATACCCACAGCTTGATGTGTGTGTGTGTGTGTGTGTGTGTGTGTGACCTTGCATATGAGTGTGTTTAAACGAGCAAATCTAAGAACAAAATGTCAGCGAAGGTTTGGTCTGAATTGTAAAGAGAGACAGGCGTGATTGTAAGCGCATGTGGTTGATGGATTCAGGGAGAACTAGGACAGTGAAACACAAGCAACTTGTACCGAAGGAGCAGCAGTTTCTCTACAAAGTCACACATTTTCTCGCTCAAGTCAATATGGATGGTGTCAATGTGTGTGCGCCCTCAACTGTCTCTCTGCGTCAGAGCTTGCAGTTCGGCAGTCTGTAGGGAATGTTGGAGGAAGACATTTTTACGACTGTAGCTATGCAGAGACAGAGGGCCTCGAGGTGGTTGTCCTAAACGACCCGTAAACATGGAAGAGGAGGAGGAGGAAGAGGAGGAGGAGGCTGGGGAAGGATTAGCAGGTGGAGGGGAGGCTTGGATGGACGATGAGACGCTTGGGGAGGGGCTCCCTCTGCTTGCGAGACTGTGGAGGCTTGAGGAGGCGCTCGCTCCAACTGCGCGAGGGATATGGCTCGGGGGGTGGTGCTCTCCTCCTCCTCTCCTCGCCCCACCTGACAGACTCACCCCACCTCCTCCTCCTGAAATTAAGGACTCAGAAGAGGAGGACACCCCCTCTGGCTGCCTGGAGGACAGAGACGGAATTGCGGAGTGGTTAGGAGCTGCTGAGCCGGAGCCTAGGCATTGATTTGGACCAAGGCCCGGGTGTGAAACTTGAAGCTGGACTGGAGTAGTAAGTGAGGCTTGGGCTGACACTGCAGAAGTGGCACAGGACGAGTTGGAGGAGCCTGGAGCCAGATTTGGAGCAGGGTTACGGGCTGTGGGCTGTGCCAAGACTCCCTGGCAGTGGCGCTCCTCCCTGGCAGCGTGTCGTTCAGAGGCAGGAGGCCGGCCGTGCAGAGGTGGATAGTGGTGGGGGAGGTGCTGGTTACAGAGGTCCCCTCCGAGTGGTGCCCCCACACCCCGTGCTACCCTTCGGTCCCTTGAAGCCAGGCTGCTGCTGCCTAGTCCTGACCACCGGCCTGGATGACTGGTCTGAGAGAGAGAGGAAGACAAAGAGAAACACGTGTTAAAGAGACTCTACCATTTACTCTGCTTTCTGTTTGTCAGCGAGTGTGTGATGTGACTCTTTCAAGAATTATTCACTGAACATGTGAGAGATAGAGAGAAAGAGGAAGAGAACTACACAGAGAGGCAGAGACAGACAGAATGAGAGAGAGCACTGTTCAGTATAGATTGTTAATTGGGTGACATTTGGAGAACGATCTCTCTGGGCTCCTGCAGCTTGTTCTAATTGTTTCTAAACCAACCGGAACCCTGCTCACTGAAGAACAGACACACACACGCAGAAACACACACACACACACACTCAGAGAAATAGGGCAAAATTGCGTGCATGTATGAAGACATGCACTCAAGGTATGAACTAATCCCCATTCACAAAGCAAAAGGATCTCTCCCTATTTCTCTCTCTCTGTCTCTCTGTCTCTCTCTCTCACACACACACACACACACAAACACACACACACACAATAGGGAAGATGGCATATAAAGCTAGATGGCACAAACGGGAGCCACCTGTTCTCTTTCACACTCCAGTGCACCCCCTTATGCAACATATCTCATCACTGTCCCCCTTCTGTCTCTGTCTCTATCTCTCTCCCACACACACACACAAATACACACAAACCCAAAATCACACCGGGACCAAGTGTGCAATGTTCACTAAAGTAGCACAATCTCATCCGACACTGAACCTCATGGGAGAGTAAGCTGAGTTGACATTTGCCGACACGATGGCTGTGTGTGTGTGTGTTCTCTTGTGTGTGCCGTGCTTATGTATGAGCATGTGTCTTCGTAACTCTATACACTCATACAGTACACACAGTGTATGCAACATGGGTGTCAACACGTATGTCTGCGCGTGCACATTTATTGAGACTCCCATGCACTTTCATGTGTATGAACGTGATCACGCTTTGTGTTTGTGCATGCAAATGAATATTAAAAGTAATGTAATTACCGTGTCGAGTCTGTCGACAGAGATTTGGTGTGAGAGGTAGAAATGTGATTAGCCAGAACACAGCTAACTGAGTAAGTACAGTATAACAGTGGCAATGCTAATTCAATGAAACGGTTTCTATTCATAATACTGTCAGCCTGAAATCAAATTAAAGAGGGGAGGGGAGAAAGAACGTGGGGGAGATCACAAAGAGACTGGAGGGGAGAATTTGTGAGTTATAAATGATACTCATCGGACAGAGCTATGTCAGCTTTGATGCATAAGTGTCACTTAAACGTAAAACAAAACACTGAAATGAGGGGTTTGTTAATTTGCATGACAAGCATCTTCTTGCTGAACCTTCAATAGCACTCGATACAACCTAAATTCAGTTTATTAAACTAATCCCACTTCCTTACACATACGTTTTACATGTGTAAAGGGCATCACACACACTGGCGGTGTATGACGCACCTGCTCTTTCAATGCAAGCCCACACACCAGCCGCTCCTTGACATCTATTATTATGTCAACATAAACCACTCTCCTATTTCCCAGTATTGATGTGCGGAGAAAAATAGCAATTTGATTGCATTCGCTCCCTGAATTGCCCCATCTCGACTACTGTAATTTCACTACTTCTTATGTCTTTATGACAAGCTCAGTGTATAGCATGGGTGTGTTTAATTCAGATGATTCAGCATGGCCAGTGTGTGTTGTGCACTGAGCTTCATGAGGCCCTGTCTCACATAAACTGCAAACTAGGGCTGGGCAATATGACAGCTATGTACAATATATTGATGTAGTTTCAAGCAAAATATAGATTTTGACAACACTGTTGTTTTTTTTTTTAATGGGTATGGTCAAGTGGCGTTACATAACGCCATTCCACACTCTCTGCGCAGCTCCACTCCACTCATTCACTCACAAGTTCTCCATCAACACTCAGAGAGACACAGAGCTGCTACTCTGTCTGTTAATTAGTCTACAGTGTGACATCGGTTTATATGTTTCATGTGCTCCTCTGAATCAGTCTGTGAGATGACTGAAATTACCGCAGCACTGCACTGCATGTGTGGGAGACAGAGCTGCTTGATGGTGTCAGGTGAGCGTTTGTTTTTGGTAGTTGTAGTCTATTCTGTGACACTGAGACAGCGCCTGGATGCAGGCCACAGATGTGTTTAAGGAAAAGGCAGTGACAACACAGATGTTTCATATACAAGACGTATACAACACGGACAAAGTGTTTCACGCTCCTTCCCTCCCTCGTTCTCTCTGTTGATCCCATGTACATAGATAAGTTTAATAGTCTAAATATAAAAAGATACTGAAATGATTGTCCTGCAGTAGATTCATTCGAAAGGCCATGGAAAATAACTTTTTAACTACCTCCAAAGATTTTTAATTGTTCTAAACTACTTTCAAACTCATGTTATATTTTTGTGACCTATGCTGCAAACCTTTAAATCTCTGTAGCTCCAGTGCTGTGTGCAAAAAGTATCGTATCGTTTGGTATCGTATGGTATGGTATCATATGTGTGAATAGAGCCGGTAATTGTCAGGTATATTCACCGCGGGTGAGCGGGCGTGCGGATGATGTTTCTATCCTGCAGCTTGTTCAAAACCGGAAGAAACAAACATTCGTGGGGGTGAAGAAGAAGGATTATTTTACACAAGGACGGCAAAGAAAATGTCTAACTCGAGAGACAATGAGATTCTGGAATTTCTGTCAGTAAGGGCCGATGCCAAAATTGTCAGACAAATTAAAGGAATGACAAAAAACTCTGTTGTTTATGACCAAATTACGAAATGGCTACGTGGCCACAGTGTAACCCATGTCATGTCCTGCCTCTTGCACACTCTACCCAGATGCCACCCCTAACCTAAACCAAATGGAGTATCTTCAGTGGAGAACGCTTATGACACACACTATTTCCTGCTGTGGGCTACATGTGTGAAAGAGAAACTCCAGACAATGTCTGGACCTGATTCTCCGTCAACTGCCCAAAGTTCATATGAGAAAACAGCTATAAATAGTGTCATACAGGTGATTTGGCTCAGTGCCTTCTATACTGCTGAACTTTAAAGGACAAATTAAGATATCAGCTTTAATTAAAGTACATGTTGGGTCAAAAGATAAAAAAAATTCAAACCCTTTCTGTACATGGCACACACCTTTAATGAGTAACTGGACAGACAGATTATATTTAATAAAGTAGTCATTTTATGCAGTAAGAAGAGAGTAGTATTAATTATACTATGTGCTTGGAAAATTCTGTCGGTGTAATGTCTTGTGAAAGTTTGCAGCCCCTGAACACCACCAGACTTTTAATATCTTACTGTGAGGTGCTATTTCTAGCTTTTTTTGCATTTCAAAGTATGAAAGGATTCTATGAGGATTTAGCTGTGACTGGCTCTAATTTAGTCTGAGGCAGTATGGAGTACAGGGTGGGGTAAATATGATAAGTAAACAAGGTCCTGAGAACAGTAGGAAAAACAAATGAGCAGGGTCAGCCTTGCTTTGAACCTTTCTGTTCTCCATACTGATATTCACGATTAGGAAATGAAAAGATTTTCTTTTCCTCGTCTTACTTTAAAGATAAAGTAGAGGGAATGTACTGTTAGTGTTTTTACAACACAATCAACAGTAAGCCAGCTCAAAGCCTGACTACAAAGAGTGCTACATTTGATAATAAAATCTTAATCTGCCCATGCTGCATGTCTCTAACGCTTGTATTCCCCCACCTACTGTACACTGTACGCTTCCTGACATATTCCTCATATCAAGGCTGATATGGCTTTTAAAAAATCTGAATTACAGCCAAACATTCTGCACTTTAAAAGCTTAGTCTCTATGTCCTTTCATGTCCAACTTTTAAAAAAAAACGAAAAACTCTGCCAAAACATCAAACAGTGTGTCGTTGTCTATACAGCTTACTTAAAGAGCTTGGGGAGTGCGTCTCTGCTTTCTAATGGGCTCTAATGGGTGGATAAACACTACAAGACTTCTTGCAGATTGCTTGATCTAATTAAGAGGAGTGAGAATTTCCATTCCAGCCAAATTTCCTACATAAGGGCGCTGCGAGAAAACATAAGGGTATTGTCACGGTGTTGAATATCCACTGTGGTGGTGTAGGTTTATGTGGGACGGCTTAATTAGGGCTAAATCTATAATCTTACAAAAAAAATCCTGTAGTGTTTTTCCACCCTCAGACATTTGAGAAAACAACAGAAGGTAAGGCGAGAACAGTAAGATACAAACTGGCAACTGACAACTTTGAAAGAAATAATTACCAGGCAGAGTACAAAGAGTTGGTTGAAGAAACATATGCTCTGTAGCAAAGGGGCATTGCTGATCCAAGATGGGGAGGGAGACAAAAAAAAAAAATAAATCATCAAATACAATGAATCAAACGCAACCAAAAACTGGGGTAAAGCTGGGGTGGCGTGTGTGAGAGTGCACAATAAGGACAGACAGACAGAGACAGAACAAAAAGGTCAAGCACAATAAAAGAGAGGAGTAAACAAATTGAGAAAAAAGAAGAAGGCGACGGGAAAAAGAATGAGAAGCTGTTGAGAAGGTGATTAAAAGCAAAGAAAGAAAAATGAGTACAACAGAACAGACAGCAAGGCGCAGAGACAGAGGGAGCAGGTCTGATTTACAAACTCAGGTGTCCTTTCTCAAGTACACGCTCTGCGGCAAGCAGGCTGCCTCTTCTCCAGTGACAGAACGGCCTGTGTGTGTGCAAACACTCTGGAGTCTCTTACACACACAGTCCTATAAATACACACACACACACACACACACATACACATGAGTAGACCTAAGTAAATCAGAGTGATTTAAGGGGGCCCTCTCCTGCAACCTTAGTTTTTATTGGGCAGTGAAGAACACAGCAATGTGGTAATGGCCAAGTTTGCATAAAAGAGCTCCTTAAAACACTAAAACATCCCTATACAACGTTTGCTATCGCCTGTCTTCGTCATTTTAATACCAGGAGAAGAGAGAGGCGGGGGATTTATTTCATGACTT